CATGTGTTGGTAAACGTGTTCCCGTCACTGAGAGATGTTCCATGTGTTGATAAACGTGTTCCAGTCACTGAGAGATGTTCCATGTGTTGGTAAACGTGTTCCCGTCACTGAGAGATGTTCCATGTGTTGGTAAACGTGTTCCCGTCACTGAGAGATGTTTCATGTGTTGGTAAACGTGTTCCCGTCACTGAGAGATGTTCCATGTGTTGGTAAACGTGTTCCAGTCACTGAGAGATGTTCCATGTGTTGGTAAACGTGTTCCCGTCACTGAGAGATGTTCCATGTGTTGGTAAACGTGTTCCAGTCACTGAGAGATGTTCCATGTGTTGGTAAACGTGTTCCCGTCGCTGACAGATGTTCCATGTGTTGGTAAACGTGTTCCCGTCACTGAGAGATGTTCCATGTGTTGGTAAACGTGTTCCCGTCACTGAGAGATGTTCCATGTGTTGGTAAACGTGTTTCCGTCGCTGAGAGATGTTCCATGTGTTGGTAAACGTGTTCCAGTCACTGAGAGATGTTCCATGTGTTGGTAAACGTGTTTCCGTCACTGAGAGATGTTCCATGTGTTGGTAAACGTGTTCCCGTCACTGAGAGATGTTCCATGTGTTGATAAACGTGTTCCAGTCACTGAGAGATGTTCCATGTGTTGGTAAACGTGTTCCCGTCACTGAGAGATGTTCCATGTGTTGGTAAACGTGTTCCCGTCACTGAGAGATGTTTCATGTGTTGGTAAACGTGTTCCCGTCACTGAGAGATGTTCCATGTGTTGGTAAACGTGTTCCAGTCGCTGAGAGATGTTCCATGTGTTGGTAAACGTGTTCCCGTCACTGAGAGATGTTCCATGTGTTGGTAAACGTGTTCCAGTCACTGAGAGATGTTCCATGTGTTGGTAAACGTGTGTTCCCGTCGCTGACAGATGTTCCATGTGTTGGTAAACGTGTTCCCGTCACTGAGAGATGTTCCATGTGTTGGTAAACGTGTTCCCGTCACTGAGAGATGTTCCATGTGTTGGTAAACGTGTTCCAGTCACTGAGAGATGTTCCATGTGTTGGTAAACGTGTTCCAGTCACTGAGAGATGTTCCATGTGTTGGTAAACGTGTTCCCGTCACTGAGAGATGTTCCATGTGTTGGTAAACGTGTTCCCGTCACTGAGAGATGTTCCATGTGTTGGTAAACGTGTTCCCGTCACTGAGAGATGTTCCATGTGTTGGTAAACGTGTTCCCGTCACTGAGAGATGTTCCATGTGTTGGTAAACGTGTTCCCGTCACTGAGAGATGTTCCATGTGTTGGTAAACGTGTTTCCGTCGCTGAGAGATGTTCCATGTGTTGGTAAACGTGTTCCAGTCACTGAGAGATGTTCCATGTGTTGGTAAACGTGTTCCCGTCACTGAGAGATGTTCCATGTGTTTGTAAACGTGTTCCCGTCACTGAGAGATGTTCCATGTGTTGGTAAACGTGTTCCAGTCACTGAGAGATGTTCCATGTGTTGGTAAACGTGTTCCAGTGACTGAGAGATGTTCCATGTGTTGGTAAACGTGTTCCCGTCACTGAGAGATGTTCCATGTGTTGGTAAACGTGTTCCAGTGACTGAGAGATGTTCCATGTGGGGATGAGTGTGTTCTGGTCGCAGAAATGTTTCATGTGAAGCGTGCAACTTTACGTCGTGATCCATTGAGACAAAGGAAGACCAGACATTGTACTTGCTTGTGGGAATCGAACACAGACTTTTCGGCATCCGGTCACATCTCTCCTTGTGAAATACCCACTTAAAAGATAGATGATGCAGAAACATCAGTATTTTTCGTCCGTGGGTACTTCACAACCATATGTAAACTGACTGAATTACCGTGAGTAGTTTTGTAAAGACATCATCCACTCTGTCACAATGCTAAATGTTTCCTAGAGTTGTCTGTGGCTGTCGCGTTAGTTGCCTCTGTGTGCCCACCCACCCTGTACCGGAAATAAACACGACCATTGATTGAAGGAGGGGCCACAGGTGGGTACAGTCAGGTAACTCGCCTGTCTGGACTGTCGATACCTGGAAGAGATTTATACGGTCTGTAATGAACAGTATCGTTACAAGCTTAAGCCACAAATGAGTGTCTTTGCGAGACACGTCACGATTGTGTTTGCTTTCGTGCCCGGGTTTTAAAGCAGGTTGGCAATGGATGTCAGTGATTATGTAATACGGTTGTACGGTGACAAATATACCATTCAAAAAAGTAGGGGATATTCCATTTTGCGAGCATACCAATAGTCAATGCCAATGAAAAAAGTAATATATGTCCATACAGATGAAACATTTCCAAAGGAATGGAATAAATTGTCACATTTTCCCTTAATTTCTCTTCATCATCTGTTTTATCAATCTTGTAAATCCAATATCCCCTACTTTTTTTGAATGGTATGTAAACTCTGTAAACACCTACCTCGGGGCAGTAGCATACAACATCCAGACATCTGTAAACACCTTCCTCGGGGCAGTAGCATACAACATCCAGACATCTGTAAACACCTTCCTCGGGGCAGTAGCATACAACATTCAGACATCTGTAAACACCTTCCTCGGGGCAGTAGCATACAACATTCAGACATCTGTAAACACCTTCCTCGGGGCAGTAGCATACAACATCCAGACATCTGTAAACACCTACCTCGGGGCAGTAGCATACAACATCCAGACATCTGTAAACACCTTCCTCGGGGCAGTAGCATACAACATCCAGACATCTGTAAACACCTTCCTCGGGGCAGTAGCATACAACATCCAGACATCTGTAAACACCTTCCTCGGGGCAGTAGCATACAACATTCAGACATCTGTAAACACCTTCCTCGGGGCAGTAGCATACAACATCCAGACATCTGTAAACACCTTCCTCGGGGCAGTAGCATACAACATTCAGACATCTGTAAACACCTTCCTCGGGGCAGTAGCATACAACATTCAGACATCTGTAAACACCTTCCTCGGGGCAGTAGCATACAACATCCAGACATCTGTAAACACCTTCCTCGGGGCAGTAGCATACAACATCCAGACATCTGTAAACACCTTCCTCGGGGCAGTAGCATACAACATTCAGACATCTGTAAACACCTTCCTCGGGGCAGTAGCATACAACATCCAGACATCTGTAAACACCTTCCTCGGGGCAGTAGCATACAACATCCAGACATCTGTAAACACCTTCCTCGGGGCAGTAGCATACAACATTCAGACATCTGTAAACACCTTCCTCGGGGCAGTAGCATACAACATCCAGACATCTGTAAACACCTTCCTCGGGGCAGTAGCATACAACATCCAGACATCTGTAAACACCTTCCTCGGGGCAGTAGCATACAACATCCAGACATCTGTAAACACCTTCCTCGGGGCAGTAGCATACAACATCCAGACATCTGTAAACACCTTCCTCGGGGCAGTAGCATACAACATCCAGACATCTGTAAACACCTTCCTCGGGGCAGTAGCATACAACATCCAGACATCTGTAAACACCTTCCTCGGGGCAGTAGCATACAACATTCAGACATCTGTAAACACCTACCTCGGGGCAGTAGCATACAACATTCAGACATATGCGATGGTTTCACCAGGTTCTGATGAGGAATTTTTCATTGTATACCTCATATTACACTTACTATGTCGGTAAACATACACAGCCCTAACAGACCGCATCCCTGGTCTAGTGGATACAGCCTCTGCCTGGATGAGTCTGATGTTCGATCCCCGATGCTTCATACCAAAACATGGTACTTGTTGTTAGCCTGCCTGGCGCTAGATATTAAGGGGACAAAACAAGGACGGGTTGGAGTCAGTACACGTGCTGTGACTGGGGTATTCATGTTAAACTACAACATGGTGTTTCGGTGTGTTAGCATTATAAAACCGGTTACCGGACTAGAACAGGCAGACACAATATACATCTACATACACATGCATGTGGCAATACAAATGCAATAATCTTGAACACGACGTTCAACGTCATCTCACCTACATTCCAAACATAGTAAACGTCACTTCTTCAAGAAAACTTTTGGGAATGGCAATCCGTGTGTACGTTATTAATAAAATGTCAAAGTCTGCACTCCAACGTTGAACGAGAGGTGCAGTTTAAAACAATACCACATATATATATTTCATGACATCACCATATACGGATCTATATCGGTTTGGTGCATAGCATGTTAAACAGGCACGCCTTTATTATTTCATTGAAAATGTTGTTAACATGATTTAAAATACTTCAGTATTATGGAAGTCAAACTGTCCCACCTGTAGCGTCTCACTGACGTAATGTATTGACCGGTGCAGTGTCAGTTCCGATGTATCGTGTTGTTACATGGAAGGCTGGGTGTCGTGGTATGCATTGCTTGGGGCAACTTGTTATATCACTGGAGGCTAATGTTCCAGCTTCAGTAATGAATGGGTTGTTCATGCAAGCTTTCAAGCGGTCATACATGATGTATTGTTCTTGTGTTAAGGGATTAAATACAAAGGTAATGTTATACAAGGCGTTATGGTGAACACGGGTTGTTGGTGTACCATTGTCACGACAGGATGGTCCATGGTAATCATGTGCAATGGGAGGTAACTGTGAAGGGAACGCGTGGTCAACGCCCAGCTTTAAAATAGCACACATTAATGAATGAACGAACGAACGAACAAACGAACGAACGAACAGTATGGCATAGGGCAACTGTACGGAACTGATTTAGACAGTTCTGTATTGTCATGGCTTTTCTTTTTTGAAACATAACCTCCCTGACAATACACCTTTATACCACACCTTGTTGTCTACAATTTGTAGTCGCTGACATAATAGGGATGGTATTTGCTGTGTCATAAATAGGGAAAGAATGGGGCCCAATTAATTCTGCTCTCTTGCAAGACGATTCCTGTATTGGAGATCAAAATTGCATATTGTTTACTTTGTGAACTTTATATCATGAACTCCGATCGTGTGTAATAAGTCAACACAAACATTTATCTCAGCTCATGTAAGTTTTATTCATGTATAAATCACTTCATATGTACAGGTAACTACACCCAGCGGCGAACTAGTCTTCATATAACTTGACACGAAATCGTAAATATACCTCAATTCCGTTTCCAAGAGCATCAGTGATTAGTATTTTAGTGAACACTTTCTGCTCATTCTCCCACGCTCCGTTTTCTTGGGGCGAAGCAAATTATACTAATTTCTTCGATTATATGCTTTGAGGAAAACACTAAGTTGGCATCACCATATCGTGAAGAGCCACCATGTCCATATCAACAGGTCAGTGATTGGGTGATTGTAGTATACTTCCTGTCTGATTGTAGTATACTTCCTGTCTGATTGTAGTATACTTCCTGTCTGATTGGTATACGGACGCTCCAACATTAATGTTTGTCAATCATGATGGCGATCCCGACTGTGGTGTAAAGTGAGATACGAAAACAGACAGTATGGTGGAACTCTTAGTAAAGACAACAGTGCAGTCACTCTGGCTTTTGGAACCGTTACAAGTGCCACTGAAAGTCGTTTCTGGGATCAGTGGGATCTCTGTGCATGATTGCCTTAGAGGACAAATAACACTTCTATATCAATATAAACTGTCATTTTGGCGTCGGGCTATCCAAGGCATTTTGGCAGTGGACTGATCAGGGTAACTGATCCGGTCAGTGCTATATATATTAGAATAAGAAAGATAAGAAAATAAAAAAGAAATATAATAACCTGACACGTAGTTGACTTTTTATAAATAATTGTAAGAATGATAATGTTTACGAATACTGTGTTCATCGGGACTTGAGACATTCGGAAATCTCTCATTCTGGGTGAATATTTACTATACTTGTGATGTTCAGAATTCAGTTTCGAGATGTTTTGAAAGGTCGTGTTGTATATAACATTTCTTGTGTTGTTGTTTAGGCATGGTTTCACGAAGACCAATGGTCTCTACGGGGGAAACGCTTGCTAAGCATACTCAGATCCTAACACGACAGTGACGTGAAGACCCTTGAATAGATAAGGCTCTGGTATCCCAGCCGCAAAAAGCGAGTTAGTAAGTAAAATATAACGCCACTTTTGACACTATTCCAGTAATACTTAGGAAAAACACGATGAATTGAAATCAAACCTTGCAGTCAAGTTGACGCACTACGTTCTAGGCTCCCGCTCCACGGTTAGTGAGCTGCAATGGTGACTTACTGTGACAATCTTAGTCTGTCTGGGCGTTATGTTTTGCCAAAAAGCTTCCGGATAAAGACGGTTTAGCTATAGATAAATTATTTACATTCAACATCTAAAAATAAATTTGCACATTTAAAGACATTTGTGCACTTGTTTGAATTCAAGGCAAGCATCGTTATATCACAGGCATGAAGGCAAAGCATACATCATAGTCGGACTTACATCATCTAACGCTGAACGTGATGAGTAACGGTACAATGCCATATCTATACATATATATAATACATACATCATTATGACGTGTTGGATGTTTGGATAATTGACACGCAGCGAGTGGAGTTAGTTTAACATCGCTGTGAAATGTATTTCATTTATGGAAGGTCGATGTGAGAACATCTCTAAGTGATGCAGAAACACACGAGCATGGGTGTATCCTGGAATCCTAGAAACCTAGATACATTGCCTGGGTCTCATGTGCCGAAGGATTCAACTCTGCACAAAGAGTTGTAATGGAAGGTACTTGTTATTTTGGAAGCGTCACTTATACAGGCGTACCGGCAACGTAGTTCTGGTGGAATAATGTCCATGACGTTCTCTGTAGGCACTGGCCCTGTATTGTCGCATCATACACGACGACAAAACCATTTGATGTAACCCCGTCGATGTTGCTGTCGTGGTAGCCACACACGTGTCGTCACTGAACCCGTCAGGACATTGTAGACGCATCAGACACATGCTGTGATGGCAGGACTCTTCTCATTGTGAGAACCTGTCTCACGTCATCAGTCCGGATATAACGCTATCTATCATATCACCGTCATTAGGGTACATGTTACAACTAGGAATAGTTTGCTTGCTCCACGGGGAGAGCGGACACACAATAACATAACATGTGCCACTCCGGGGCTTGAATCCGGAAGGCAGATATGTAGTTTCACCATCTTCCATTATGATGAAATATATGAAAAAAGAGTCACGCAGAATGTGTCCGTCTTGCAACTGTCACTTCCACAATCAGTTTTGATATTCCTGAACGTCAAGATCATTTCTGAAAGCTGCCTCATGCGAAATTCTCGAAAGTTTCAGTTGCCACAGCAACCTACTGTCACCATGAGGCGCCCGAGGATGACGTCATCAACGAATCCATTGAACCACACTTCCAAATTCGTCCATTCATTCTTTGCATGGAATGGATGTAATTTCCGTTGTTGCCATGGAAACCAGGATTAATGTTATTGTTGTTGGAATTGTCTCTATAATCCAACATTTGGCCGTTGTTGGACATGACCTTGGTAGTAAATGCTTTGACAACACGTGCACTGAGATACGCCTGAAACAGAGAGCACCAGTGGTCAGATGTTGTATTGAATTGTAGTGGAAAAAATGTTCATACCAATTTGTGAGTAATATTATATGCAATAAAGTGTAAGAGGAAAACAGCCCAAGCATATCATCAGTCAAAAGCTATCAAAGTACACAAAACTCGGTATACAATCGATAATCGCGCTAATTGCAGTCGTCCTGGTATATGACAAGAGTGAAAATTCATCCTCTTCCCCTTTGAACGATCAATAAGCAATGTATTGGTAAATGTTGAACGTACACATATTCATGTCCTGCATTCAGTTGTGAAGAGTAACGTCTTCAATAAACGATCATTTTACGGGAAAATGCCTGTTCTCGTAATGGTCCCGCAATACGAAAAAGGTTTAATATACATCTTTAAAGATTGAACAAACCAAGAGATCTGCAGAACCCAATGTTTACTCTTGAGCTATGAAAGTTTTGCCCCTTTTTATTTGAAAGCTGCACAGTGTATAATTTGACATTTTAATAGGCAAGTGCAAAGTGAAGGTGTCTATGGTTCTGGCTGGGGGTGAGGGAGCACACCCATATGATGTCGTCTCAGCTGTACCCCCTACAGCTCTGTTACCTCACCTGTTTCTTCAGCTTGACCCCCTTCAACTTGTGCTTCATGTGGTAGAAGATGATGGAGTCGAGGTAGGGGTAGGGCTGCCGTCCCAAGTAGAAGAGGCGCTCTATCTCAAGGATGCGGTGATGCACCACCTGATTGTGCCGCCTGCAATACATGAGTGAGTGAGTGAGTGAGTGAGTGAGGGCAGTGGACATGGACGGATTGGGGTGTGGGCTTTGTCCTGCTTTGAAAAATATTTCGCGAACTTTCCGAACGACGGCGACAGGACTCAATTATATACATGTACAGATGTACCCTGGTTCTCACCTACTAGCTTATTTTGTTTGTTTCTGAAAGGCGAACCACCCCTGCCATAAAGCTGACGAACTCATATAATCGTCTCCAGACCAGAATTTCAACTGGTTGACACCATGAACACATGTGTACAGAAATGGGACACGATGACATGCATCTACCGAGTCAGCCAGTGTGGCCACCCAATCACCTTTTGTCGCATCTTACTACATCAGTAGGTAATTACAGTTCTGACGTGGATCTTGGCAAGGGGCTAACTGTACAAAGACAAAAGCTGCACCGGTTAGACAGGGATAACGGCAATGCGGTTGGTGCACCTCAGGCACTAACAACATACAGTCTTTGTGGTGCACTTTCGTGACGCCCATTGTTATACGCTGTGAGAGATTATGAAGTGGGTGTTCCCAGCATGAATGCTGTAGGTAAGGCCTGCTCACATAAGGCGGGACAGTTGAGAGAGATGGACACATCTAGCTTCAAACAATATTTCAGTTCGTCCACGGCTTGTCAGCTCGATGTGGAAGGAATGATATTCAAGTGTAGGCCGCTTAAAACTTTGGTGAATCCTCTAATAAATGTTTTGTGCTGACAAACTTACAATAAGGACGAATTTGGGATTCGAACCCACCGTCATAGGGTTCTGTCACGCCCAAAGGACACAACCTTGCATGGCCAGTTGAAGCTGATACATGAACATAGATCTCACACACACTCATGACTGCAGTAATTGTAGAAAGAACTCCATGCACATGGCAGTGAAACTGTAGGACACAGCCACGTATAATTACGACTCACCTGACCGACAGGTATATGCGGTCGGACTGGAAGTCCTTGTACAACAGGTACGTCCCTGGGGACGCCTCTCTCATCACGTCCTCGGCGTCCTCCATGCTGAACAGGACTGGGTACGTCCTGAAAGGAACAAACATTGCTATATGGCTTTGCTGTATATTTTTAACAACCACCAGTTAACGGTAGGGGTAAATAAATTAATGTATAAAACACGATTCTGTGGAGTAGATTGTATCAACAGTGACAACGCAGTTGATGGAGACACATGTATATGTGAATGCACCAATTGTTCCAGGTGGGTCACTTACCTATGAAAGTGATAATATGACAGTTAAGAGAATGTAGACCGAATGGGTTACATCGCTGTCGTTTTTGTTTTTATAATTAGGTGCCTGTCTCTGAAAGTGTGAGTCAAATTCCCGAATGGGACTCAATCCCCTCAAATACTTGAATCTGCACTCTAGAAAGTGTAATCTCAACTACATATGTTTCATATGGCCTCCTAACATATTACAGACGGGAATTTGCTATAAACCATCAACGCGAGGAGAAAACCAACACCGATTATACACCAACAATAGATTCAGTGGGCGTAAAATACTGAAAGGCGATGGAAATGAAGGGACCATTGAAAATCAGTGATGACACTTGGTGTGAAGACATGGTATACCACACGTATAGACAAATACTGGAGATAAAGGCCACTTTATCGAAGGATATTGTGTTTGTTTAATTCATTTTCCTGACCAAAACACTTGTTTATGAAAGGATTTTGTTACATTTATTGGCGTGCAGTCGTGCTAACTCAAACTTGTAAGCCACATGTATAGAGAACACATGGTCAATGAGGAGACAAAGAACAGTATATTCAACTGTCACAACTCCCGTTTTCTGAGCGGAGCTAAGCTATGCATGTGTATATGTTTGTTCCTTGACCATTGTCCACCTGTCGCGAAGGTTATCTGAAGGTCAGAGAAGATCAAGAGGTCAGATAAGCGGGTAATCTTTGTGACGGTGGACAAATAGATTGTGTGGACAGAAAACTGACCAGATGGCATCCGTCAACAATCTATTGGCAAAGGCCCTATATGACCATGGACTAACATTTACACAAGTGTCCCCCTATCTGACCATCTAGGACAAGTTATAATACATCCCCAGTAATTGCCATATACCGATATGATGTGATTGACAACCCAGGTGTTGTCAGTCTGTATTGTATTGAGTTTTCAATACAATGGAATCTAGAACACCAAACTGTGGCTTAATTACGTCTGTTACAATATCGGTCCAAACTAGCGGTCCTGATTGTATTGTGTGTACCTATCACCTTGTCACATCTGCCCATTATGAGTAAAAGAGATGTTTTCAACATACGTCAATCAATAAATCTATTAATATCGTCAATGCAGGGAAATAACTGTTGTAACATTTAAAAAGTCACTTCGATGTTTCAGCAATCTGGGTCACTGTGTAAATAGAATGAGTTGAATGAGAGTTATTATAAGTTGAATCATGTCAATAATGCTTATTTATGAAGAAACTATTTTTTATCTATTTAAAAATAAAGTGTTTGTCATTTTTTACACTGTTGGGACTTTTTCCGCAGTGTGCAGACCTTTTGTTCTGTGGGATTTAGTCCTATGGGATTGTTTCCGGTTGGGATTCCGTCCTACCCTCTGAGAATCGGACTAAATTGCAAGCAAAGCTTGCACTCGCTGTGATACTATCAAAAGATTTTGTTTTCAGTGTGACAGAATTTTATAAAATGTCGTAACAATGTCGATACAACATCAGCATCTACGTTTTGTAGATAGATAGTGTTAGTTTGTAGATAGATAGTGTTAGTTTGTAGATAGATAGTGTTAGTTTGTAGATAGATAGGTAGGTAGTAGATAGATAGTGTTAGTTTGTAGATAGATAGTGTTAGTTTGTAGATAGATAGTGTTAGTTTGTAGATAGATAGTGTTAGTTTGTAGATAGATAGTGTTAGTTTGTAGATAGATAGTGTTAGTTTGTAGATAGATAGTGTTAGTTTGTAGATAGATAGTGTTAGTTTGTAGATAGATAGTGTTAGTTTGTAGATAGATAGTGTTAGTTTGTAGATAGATAGTGTTGGTTTGTAGATAGATAGTGTTAGTTTGCGTCATCAGTGTGACAAGACGCAACGTATGTACTTACAAACAAAGGAAATGAATGTTAGACTCTCGTCAATGTTGTACCTAGGGTATAAACAGAAGTTATGTGACGACAGACACTGTAATGTTAGTCTCGACATCGTATTCCTTATATGCTAATGGTAATTCTTCTAAAAATAGGACGTATTGCTACTGAAATGTCTCTGTGGAATCAGTACTTCTCACACGATATCCATATATGTTGTTTTTTCAAACACTACAATTATGTCATACCAAATTGCTAGTTTTTATACCAGTTGTAATATTTGTCTAAATATTTTCTAACTTTTCCCATCTCTATAACTAGGAACTGTAAGAATAGTGTACCTGATGTTCCTCTGACCTATCTGTATACAGGTATAGTTGGTACAGATTATCGTTGGCATGACAATGACATGAGATGCGTGCCTTGCTACTTCCGCGGATATTACACGGTGTTTACGTTGCAGTGGATGAAAGAGACACAAGACAGACTTGGCCTCTGACTCAGATATGTAACAATATTGACAAAAAACAAACCTGGATTCTGAAAGCACAAAGGTTGTATTGTCAAAACACGCAATTGATTATATTCGTAATGTAGTAATAAAACACATTATGTATATTGAAAGATATTATTAGTTAGGTGTAGTTGTTTTCGGACCTGATATTGGTCAGGTTAAACACATCTGAGGCCTCATATTGTCAACAGAATCTTTGTATGGGGGAGAGGTCCATGCGAATCGTTGTATCGTCATCTTGTTGAGGAAGTTGACGGAATTCGGATGGAGACAATATCGTTTATGGAGCGATTGAGTTTTGTGTCTGAAGCACCTTTAGCAGCATACCAGCCATATTGCGCCCAGGATACACAGAATGCTATTCACGCAGGGTACCATATGCGGAAACCATTGTATTAGTCACCATGACTGACCACCAAAGTATTACACCACGGCCAGGGATTACCTTATTATTTAACGCTAATGGGAAACACAATATAAATATTTATGTCACCTGCCTTAGAACAATAACAATCCCCAAAGTGTTGTGTATAATTATTGTGACTGAGTAAGTGGGTAGATTCTAACCTTGTTCTAACAACGTCAGGTGCGACAATGCCGGAAGTGAAGCAGGTCATCACAGCAAGCGTTTGGCTTGCTTACGTATCGGTCGGTGTTGTCGGTTGGAAGGCACATGCTTACCATTTCCTCAAACAAACGCCCCCCCACGGGTTTTCAATTATTCTTCCATCCACATGTATTACCACAGTTTTGACTTTTACTCCCTTGCAAGATAGATAATCTGTAGTCTCTGGGATTGATGTTTTACACAGCGTGGTGGAAACGCTACCTCGGGAACGTTGCTAAGAACTACATGTATATCTAGTGCTAAGAAAGTAATGACCAGGGCAAACCAGGGACTCGAACCAAGGACTCGAACCAGCGAACACAGGATCCCGAAATGATGACAGGCAACTTTACAAATACAGCCGCGGCAACCTTAATGGCTGAACCAGCTGTGTCAGTAAAGGCAGAAGAGGACATTTAGTTTTATTAACCAACAACATAGGTATTTTATTAACATAAATGTATGAGTACAAACCACGTTTTACCATGACAGCATATTGGCTTGTCTAGTTATCAACAGATGTCACAGTGTGTTCAATAAGAACCAGCATCTGTTGTGGGGGCAGTGTCTACTTGGGAAGTGATCGATGTAGCAAACATTCTATGTATCCATGTTATCATCATAATGATACAGACTACGGACTTTAAAATGAGAACCTTGCATTAATGATATTTAACACAATCCACTAACCTCGTTAACGACTGTGTCGACTATTAAATTTGGAAGAAGAATAGTGAGTGGTTAAATTCACATTATTCCAAACTTTAATTTTTATACAGCTCGTTATACATTTTATCTCCCTTACGCTGCAATTATAAGGTGTGTCTATTGGTCATGTAACACTGGGTTATTCAGAGCCAATGATATGAATATTGTGAGTATTTAACTAAGCGACTTATTGTCTAGGTCGTCGTTAAATCAGAAATAGGATCTGAATGTCGATCCTCAACACCAGAAAATTACCTTTCTATACCACCTGCCCAAACAGATTCCATAGTGTGTAAATGGTAAATAGCGATAATAAAGTATACTACTTCATGGATAACTTCTTGTTTAGTGCATAGAGCGACGTTTCGGTGTAAATGTTTTAACTTTTAGTTTGTAAACTGTTCAAGAATCTACACCGAAATGTCGCTCTATGTATGGAAGAAGTTGTTATCCATGACTCACCAACTTCAACAATGCCGATCAAACAATTAGGAAAACAGCAGTGAAACATATATGAACTAATCACTGAAAATCATTGAGCAGTGTCTAACGGATGAAACAAAAAGCCCGCTTCTTGTGATCAATACTCATTATTTCATTGTGTCATTTGTGAGATGTGTTGTAGAAAACAACTGATTTTCAGTTTTCAGAAAATAAATCACTTTTTGACGATGCATAACTGGGCACAGAGTACATAATTTACACAAGAATCAATAATCTTGATTTTTCTTGCCGTTTTCTTTCCTTTGTAGACAATAACTGATCATTCAGTTAGTGAAAGAAGGTGCGTCAAAAGTTCTGAAATGCATCAGTTCTTCTGGTACATCTGTTTTCATCATTAGTTGAACACCACTTTGTACCACTTTGTTCGATGAAAGGCAGAATACACATGATGTGCCTACAATGCAGGACCATTTCACAAATACCTTCATACCGAACACGCTTACAACCAACTGTTTTGCCGCGGCCACTTTTAGCTATTTACTGTTATACCGAACTAAAATCGGTGGGAGTTCGTAATAATCTTTGTTATCACAAGTATCATGTCAATACATTACTGGTCTATGAAGCTGTATCTGAATAATAACATAACAGATGTTGAATCTTGACTATTTGTGACCGCCATAAGGCGTATGTATTGTTGGACCGAAGGTCGAATTACATAATTCTTTGTCATGTATTTCTTTCGATTGTCTATAAGGATGGACATATAAAGGTGAAAAGAGACAAATAAAGGTGAAAAAAGACAGATTTACCATAACTTCTGGCTTAAAATATGTAGATAATCTTTCAAAATAGTTTGTAATTATCCCCTTCCGAAGTACATGTTGGGTAATCTAACGGTGACCAGCTGATGTAGAAATGATAATGACAGCGTTGTCAGCGCCAACATAGGTGTGTCCTTTGCATCATGGAAATAGTATCGCCGTCAAAACGAAAATCTGATTATCTCTTTGTCAGACTGAAGTGTTTCATCAACACAACACATGATTACTGCTTGTACGTCAAACCCAGCTACAGCAACCGGTACCGTTTACCATAATAACATAGCCATCGGCGAAAGATAATTGATCAGAAAAACGCTTTGATAATTTTAACTCATTTATACAAACAGACGGGTATTCCCGACACATACATGTATATACAGGAACTGTGGCAAGTGTTATGGTTCGTGGAGATAAAGTTAATCAAATGTTGCTGCTTACTTCAAGAGAACCGTGTGTGTTTTTCAGCGTTTACTGGTTAGAATGACACGTACAAGAAGTTGGTGTTCAACCCTTCTCCCAGTGCCCACTGTACAGCCGATGACAATGTGGGTTGTCATGCGTGGCTTGGTTCAGGGTATTATTAATCTGGGTATAGAACAAGCTGCTGTTCAGCTGTGTGGGAAGGTATATTATATGATCTGAGTATTAGCAACAACAAACAATAAAGGCACACCCTAATGGTAAGTTACTGTAACAAGGCTTTGTGGATTCAAAGCAACGATTGCACGCGTACAGTTGTAGAAGTGTAAACCGACTTTGTCTTTCAAACCAGTGGGTGTTACTGGTTAAGTGTGAAATCTTTTCTGCTATGGTTTGCGCATTTCATCCCCGTGGGCACCAAGTGGGACCTACCCTTTATTTATGTACACGAGGCAGAATTTCTGCGAAATCAATAGTTAGGAATATGGCCAGGTTAAACTTCAGATTCAGGTGTATCGATGATCTGGTACCGCTCGATAATCGTCAAACAGCCAATTCCCTTCAGTGATTTACCTCACATGAGCTAAAAGGGAGCAATCTCCCGTCTCAACTGTTCCATCCATTTATAAAGGTTCAGGGTGACAAAACACTCTCCACAGGAGTCGTACTTTACTTGGTCAAATGTTCCTCCTTGATCAGGGACACAAGACTTAAGGCAGAGGCAAATCTTTCCAATAGTTGGAGGACACTTCCAAAAATGAAATGTCTGATGTACTGCCTTATATTGATATTATTGATGTAAACAGTTGACTAGCCTTTGCATGTGTTTGTAAAGGGCACGGGTGGGACAGGCTTTGGTCACCCTTCTGCGGACACCTGGTGTCATCACAATCTGATAGCTTTCATAAGTAGGTGTTGTTGATATAGTCTGAATCGTACTATGGACTCTGATTTTAGCTGAGATTTCTGTGTTAATGGAAGGTTAGGTCGTCATTACTGACTTCTCACCTGTGTCTTTCTTCTCAGTTTATTTATTGTCATTAAGATTATGGTTAGCCAAGGGAGTATAAGGATAATTACCAGCGTTTTATGTATTACCTGAGGACGACCAGGGGTACAGAGAACATTAGGCGTATAGTCAAATGAGGATGGCTATTGGTACATAGGGTATATGATCAATTGGGGATGGCTGGGGGTCAAATGGGGGTCAAATGAGGACTTCATGATGGTAGTGAACAGTGTTAACAACTGGATGCCAACACTGCAAGTAACAGTTGCTGTCCCGTTCATGACTCCAGCCTAAGGTTCATGGTTTCACCACAGTTTCACCACAGTTACACCACTGTTGAATCACTGTTTAACTCAACTCTTACCCCTTTCTCTTGGGAAATCGGCCTTCATAATACCCGTATCGATAAGTAATATTTCACCTTGTCTAAGCAACAATCGTGTCAGTCAACCAGTTAACAACACACGCTATTAACGACCTTGGGTGGCGGATCTAATTACGTGGACAGAGTAACTGCCAATATACCTGCCCTCTCCAGGTATACTGAACTGGAATCATGACGAAGTAGATATGCGTTGCTGTCGTCGTGGATGAGAGCTGTAATGGCTCCACGCCCAGGTGATCAACAACAGATGCACAGCTGTGATACAGCTTCCGTCACTCCCTGTATATATTGATCGGAACACGTGCACGGACTAGTTAGAAGCCTGTTACCTGCAATCTGCTGGTTGAGATTGGATTTCTATGTTCTGCCAACAATAGAGTCTATTTATGCTACTCCCAGTCAGAAGTAAGCAATACGGATTTGACACATTTTGACCGATATCTCGGCCGGATTGGACTTGACATAATCCCAACCCCTGGCTTATACAGACACTTGTCACATGACACGAGGTATATATAGCCAGCAGTTAATCCGGTGTATTTTATCCACTGGGGGATAAAACTTACTGATATGGTACTTCGGCTAAAAAATGGTTTAAATATAAATGCCAAACAACGGAGAGAGAGAGAGAGAGAGAGAGAGAGAGAGAGAGAGAGAGAGAGAGAGAGAGAGAGAGAGAGAGAGAGAGAGAGAGAGAGTTGAGGTGTTTCTTCACGTGATTAATAGTGTTTTGTGTCCAGATAGTACTATGTGTAAACATCTAAAATGAAGGATCAGGGAGTCCAATGAAAACATGGACATTGTGATAGGCAGAAAGCGGAGGATGTCACACAGACGAAAAGAACAGACAGACGGTGTTATAATGAACAAGGACTGGCATATCGAGGTGATAATTTGTAAGTTAATCATTAAGGACACACAACAACATGACGGTAAACAACATAGTGTTATTGTTTACCTGATTTCCTGCGCTGCCGCGGTTTTGTCGGTGACGGTGAAGGAGGATCTAGCTACGCATCCCCCCATGAGAGTTGATCATTGTAGCCACCAGGTGTTTTGGAAGTACTTCACGGCAGACTATCTGCCTGGGAATATACAAGGACCCGCTTCTTGACAACAATCTCGATGAAACACTTCTGAAACAGCCCAGTCGGAACACCCTATGTCTCCGTTACTCCAGCCTCATGTGAATAACAAGGCAGTGACGTCATACTGCATGTAAGAGGAACACACCTTTAATCAGTGTTGTCAATACCTGACTTGCATACACCACACATCATGGTAATCAATAGACCGTAGCGGAACGTAGGTTGTGCTTGCTAACAACAATCCCATGGTGGAATCACTCCCTATAAGCTGCCCTCCGTGTTACTGTGTGACAAGCCAGGTGTGTTGTATGAACTGGCAGACACTGTTTCCTGGTCAGCGGTGATGGCAGGCGACCGGACCAGCTGGAAGGCGACGGGATTGTGAAGTGATCGATATGCTGGCGAGTCCGAGGCTGGTTTATCCGGCGTGTGTGTGGAGTATATAGGCACTTGGCATGCGATACCGCCATCATGATCTGCGTTGTGGATTATCGCCGGGATTTCGTCAACAATAGGCATACAGCGTGGTATATATTCACCTCTGAAGCTCGGCTGTACGGTTTCGCTTGATATTTTTATTTAGTTTTAATCGTCACCTCGGAGAGAAAAGCAATATATAGACCCTACTAAGATAATTAAATATACATCCAGTTATGACCTGTTATGATTCTGAAGTGCAGTGTAATGTGTGTACCTGTTCGCGAACACCTGACATCATTACGATTTAATGGTAATTCATTGAGATGGAACCGATATGAGAAAACCCTGTTTATACACAGGTTACACGATGTTAAAAGACATCACATGATAGAACTTAGTTTTAGACACCACAATGATTATCTGCTGGAGGTCTTGGAAATTGTATTATGGGAACAGAATATATTCGTCTTGAATCAGTGAACAAATATTGACTTCTCCTCTCTCAAATCCCGAAAATGTCATGTACGGATCTTTTCCTTTCTGAGTTTCATGTTGTGACATTTGGTATAGGAATGGACACGAACATTCAAATGGTGATGGTATAAGTCAATAGACAAGTGATTATATGAAGCAATGTATATCTTCACCGTAAAACAGTAATGCACTACGATTCTACAAATTAAAAATGTCATTATTTTGAGAGGGACTTTTTGGGTTTCACTTTTGTTTTGTAATGGTAACTACTGGATCTTCGTTTGTCATATGTATTGATCATATTCATAATCAGTAGTACCAAAACAGAAATGTAGATAGAAACTTACAGTTAAATATCACTAAGAAATATGTCACAGTTACAAATGTCCCTTTGATTTCCTGGCGGGTTATCCTGGTATGTTTAAGCCTAACTAGTTATTACCAATAAGTTGTTTGATCGGCATTGTAGAAATTGGTGAGTCAAAAATGAAACATACAACTTTATGGATGACAACTTCTTGTTTATTCCGTTAAGCGACGTTTCGATGTAGGTTGTTACTTTTTAGCTTGATAACGATGTAAGAATCTTCATCGAAACGTCGCTTAACGCAATAAACAAGAAGTTGTCATCCATAAAGTTATATGTTTCATCCCCCATCGTAATAGAACTAGTATGTTGCTGAATGTGCAGTAAATCAACACTCACTCAATTACACCGGCATCCTTTAAGAAGTATATTAATGAGAAATATAATCAGAATGGAAATCACAATTGAAAGAAATTTAGTACATGGGTGAATGTTGTTGTTGGAAGCCCGTTACGCCGATCACCACACAAGAAAGGCGAATGTGTGTCTCGAGTCTGTAAGCCAGTACATCCTCTGTGGAGATCCGCCTTCACCTAGATCTACGCTGGGAGGGTGCGGTCTGGCAGATACTCACCTGAGTCTTCCAGGTAAGCTAGATCCTTCTCGCGCCAACAGGTGTGTCCAGAGGAAACTGTCACAGGTAAACCTGGACACATCCTGCCTTCACAAATGACCGCTGGAATGGCGACAAAGCAGCCACTTTTGAAAAAGCTGTCCGAGAAGATCAAATCCATCTGGACTTTAGAGAATGGTGTAGTCAGTTGAGGTTATAAAATCAATTGTCTGTTGTGTTATTGTTTTGATAGATAAAAAATGAGAAATAATGATAAAACTAAAGAAAATATTTGTGGAGAATGACTATTACAGGCTCTCCTTATTCATATGAATTGTTTCGTTCATTATGGAAATTACAGAATCGATAGGACTTGTTCGCCCCTGCCTGGCTCCAGTGTTTCGTGGCCTTGACATTTCACTCTTATAAATGACTCTATTTAACTCATTGTTTTCAAGTCTTCCGGTTGACAAGAAAAATACAATATTAGATATTTAGACGTTTGAAAAACAAGTTTTAAGATTACTTGACATGTTGACCCAAAGGTTTGACAAGCTATCAGGGTGTGTGTATTCCACTCAATATGTTTGCATTTCTCACGAGGTGTTTATTCTTCAAACAGAGATGATCGTGTGCCAGACCCACTTCATCCCTGTCAGGAGCACAGGTAGTTACCATCTAACTGATATTCCGACACACTGTGTTATACAGCCCTGTGAAGAGTTTGGCTTGTGCTCTTCCAATCGCTATGCCAAAATATTTTTACAGAAGAATGTCGGGGGCCCATGTTGTCATGACAGCCTTTCCACAGAACGCTGTCAGATGGTTATGACCTCATGTACGAGGCCATACTTCATAGTAATGAGGAAGATCATTGGACAATTTACCTGCAAAATGAATATAATGACATGTATGATGGCATGTTACCTGCAATATAATGACATGTATGTTGACATGTTACCTGCAATATAATGACATGTATGTTACCTGCAATATAATGACATGTATGTAATGATGGTTACCTGCAATATGTATGTTGGCATGTTACCTGCAATATAATGACATGTATGTTGGCATGTTACCTGCAATATAATGACATGTATGTTGACATGTTACCTGCAATATAATGACATGTATGTTGGCATGTTACCTGCAATATAATGACATGTATGTTGGCATGTTACCTGCAATATAATGACATGTATGTTGGCATGTTACCTGCAATATAATGACATGTATGTTGGCATGTTACCTGCAATATAATGACATGTATGTTGACATGTTACCTGCAATATAATGACATGTATGTTGGCATGTTACCTGCAATATAATGACATGTATGTTGGCATGTTACCTGCAATATAATGACATGTATGTTGGCATGTTACCTGCAATATAATGACATGTATGTTGGCATGTTACCTGCAATATAATGACATGTATGTAGACATGTATGTTGGCATGTTACCTGCAATAAATATAATGACATGTATGTTGGCATTTACCTGCAATATAATGACATGTATGTTGGCATGTTACCTGCAATATAATGACATGTATGTTGGCATGTTACCTGCAATATAATGACATGTATGTTGGCAGTTATTATAGTGAATAAGTACTTATAACGGTTGGCAATTTAGACTGTCACACCGTTGTCAGATTGTAGAGTACACAGCTAGGTGAAGAGTGGTATGTATATACATGGTATGCTGTCATAGGTTGTTAACATCTACAGCAACAGGTAATATATAACAAGCAGCACACACATAATTGTGTGAAAACTAATGTACAGTTAGAATAACACAGACAGAAAACACAAATATGCAACATACTTTACCCAAACTGTGTATGTACAAAAGAGTATTCCATTTAGAAGTAACGTCCAGCTATTAAGACACAAACCATAAGATTCCCACTGAAGCCTGTACAAAGCAATATTTTACATGGTAAAAACATAAAATAATGTTACAAATGTGACAGAGGTAATAAAGTCGGATGTACCTGAAGGACTCGGAGGATTATACAGCTTGATTATGTTATAAGTAAAGTTGTACGTATTTTAAGTGAAGCAAAGTCGAAAACATATCTTTCACATAATGTACATAGTTTTGCACACGCATTAATATGATATATGAAATGAAAATGAAGTGGGGCAGACAATGAAGACGGTCTAGACACATCCTACACTGTAATGGATCGTTCGCCCATCACTGGGCCATTCTTGCAGAATTTCTGCACGTGTCTTCTCGCATTAGATTTGTCGCTGTTGGATATCATATCCAGAGATCTAAAGTGAACTCTTGACATTGCTATGTACCTTTGTATTTCCGTGTCTGTATATCCAAGCAGTGCGAAGATCACTGTTTGGACCGAGGCCCTGTGTAATGGCACATATACTCTCCCCAAAAAGAAACGCATCATGAAAATAGCAATTTCATGCAGCAATGAATTAACACGTGATTCATTTTATAAAAGGTTTTGCTCTGTTTATGAGTCCTATGGTGTTTATGTTTTGAAACATCACAACAAAACGCACCATCCGTAAAATACCCGTATTTAACAGCATGAATTTCAATTTCGGCGTGTAGTGTCACAGAATACACAATTCATATGCAATGCACGTGAAAGTTTGGGATCAGATAGTCTCAATGATGGGTATAAAAGGTTGATCGCTGTCTGTCGATTATTCACTGTATTTGGAATATTGTTGACGAACGCAAAATGCCACGTCTTAGTGAAGCCAACCATCATATCGCCTTTGGTTTGCTTGAAGCTGGCCAGTCTCAACGTGCAGTTGCCCGACGCATGAATGTTCACCAAAGCACCATTTCACGGCTCTGGGAGAGATATCGCCGGCAGAATTCGGTAGCAGATGCCCCTCGTAGTGGGCGATCTCGAGCGACCACTGCGGCGCAGGATCACTACATCCGGGTACATCACCTGCGTCATCGAACAGCTACGGCGACCAGTACCGCTCGACAAATACCCGGATTGAGGAGGCTTTCTACTCAGACCGTCAGGAACAGGTTAAGAGAGGCTGGTTTACGTGCCAGAAGACCTTATTTTGGCCCTGTGCTTCGACAACAACATCGTCGGCATCGAGTTCAATGGTGCACCAACGTTCAGGCCTGGAACCGACCGAATTGGCGTAGAATCTGGTTCAGTGATAAATCACGATTTCTATTGGAACGACGCGATGGAAGAATGCGGGTGTACAGACGTCGACGTGAACGTTTCACCGACGCTTGCGTTCCCCAGGTGGACAGATTCGGCCGGGGCACTGTTATGATGTGGGGAGCGATCACCTGCCGTAGGAGAAGTGATTTGGTGATGATCCAGGGCAACCTGACAGCTCAACGGTACTGTGACGAAATCCTACGCCCACACCTCCTTCCAATCATTGATCGCCAGAGGGAGTTGTTTCAACAGGACAATGCCAGGCCCCCACACAGCACGTCACACAAGAGACTTCCTCCAGAACCACAACATCAATGTGCTCTCCTGGCCCTCAAGATCACCGGACTTAAACCCGATCGAACATCTGTGGGATGACCTGGACAGACGGGTGCGACGCCGTAACCCTCAGCCCCAGACACTTCAGCAACTCGCACAGGCACTACAGGCAGAGTGGGCTGCGATTGGGCAACACGAGATTCTGAGACTTATTCGTTCGATGCCGAGGCGATGCCGTGCAGTTCTGGATGCCCACGGTGGTCACACGAGGTATTGACTTCAGCGCCACCACACGTCTCCATGTGACACTCAAACTGACTTTCCTCGAGTTGGTGCCAAAGACGAATAGGTCTGCATTCCCAGTGTGCAATTTTGCTATATTTCATTCACTCATAAATAAACATAAAAATACAGTTGAAATTCATATATGCGTTTCTTTTTTGGGAGAGTATATATACAACAAAACTGTATTTTTGTCAGATTATCATCACAACTATCACCACCGTGTTCTACTTATGACCTTGAACTTGTGGCTTATGAGAAGAGCGCAGTTTGGACGAAGAGTTCAGTCGTAAGAAATGTCCCCAGCCTGGCTATCTCGTGTATTAAACACATGGTACAGGTTAACGGTAAATAAAACCAATTTCATAACATGCACAGTATCTGCCGACGGGAAACCCTAAAGCAGCATGACATGATTGGTGCGTATGTTGAGAAGGTCTTTTTTAACATTTAATGTGCAAACTTTACGTGAGTAATCAATTCGTACTGTTTTTATTACAACGCATGTGTTTAAAAATACACGTTCGGTCGTTTAATGCGTCTTTAAACACCTTCTCTAAAATAGATACGGTATCTATTGGGGACACGGTTTGAAATGTATACATCCACATTGATCAACTGTCGAAAGTATCTTCCCAATTTCTGGTGTCCCCCGCCGTGATATTGCTGGAATATTGCTAAAATAGCGGCGTAAAACCATACTCACTCACTCCTCTCCACAAGGAGAGGCCTGTTCTGTCACAACTGTTTGTAGACCACTTGAAATTTATACACATTTACACACATGTGCTACTTCTCACGCCGCTGGTGGACATCACGCACATGATGTAAGTCTCCACAGGCTGGAAACACTGGTGTATTAGCGGAGCTATGAAGAGTTAAGCCCCTTGTCTGATCGATCACACACAATCGCTCATACCACATGAGGATCTAAGAGACGATCTTGTGTTTTTGTAGTGACTTTAGGTACTCATCACAGTGAGTAAGTGCTGTTAACACCAGACGGTGAAATGTGTAATGAAAATGATGCCGATCATTTACGCTGCCGAGAATGTCATTTATGAACAGATTTAGTTTCAGTATGACCCATTGAAAACGTATTTGTAGTAAAGGCACACAGTGATATTTAGGCCTGAATTACATTAACATGAAACCAGTCCTTCTGACTTCTTATAGAAACAATTTGTTCTGCACAATTTTAAAACAGAAATATGCTATTTGTCAAGGTGTACCCACACCAAGACAAGATCATGGCCTCGAAAACCAGTAAACGTTGCACTTGAATCTTCTATTTACTATGTGCACTATGCGACTGGCACAGAATCAGTGAACCAGAACGGCGGCAGATGTGCACCAGGCATCAACAACATGACCTGGCGATAAAACCAACATTAACGTTATAGCCAGACTATGGAGAGTTACGTCCCTTGGTCGATCCAACAATCCACAACACATAATCACGGGATCAAGGTGTACGAATGCTGAGTTACTGGCAGTGTATGATATAAGTCAGAAACTAGGGCTGGATATTGCCCTGATTTTCATATTGCGATATATTGCAATAACTTAAGAGATATTGCAAAACATATTGTGATAGATTGACTGGAAGGTTTCTGCCCAAGTGTATACATCATAAATTCACAATAGTTCTCTGTGTGCGACATCATCTTCTCAGTTGCTGTTACACCAGAGGCTCCCCGTCCCCACTGTGTATGGGTGTATGCCAATGGTCTACAGATAAATAAAATGATATAGAGCCTTAATGTGGAATGTTTATTTGAAGTATTGCAACAATTTTTTTAGAACATAATGGTAATAGTATAACATGATGTCGATGGACAGTGTTGTTTGCTTCAACAGAATGCACTTCAATGCTGTATGTAATTATTGTTACCTTATGTCAGTGATTCATTCAGATTCAACTCCCATATACACATGCGTTAACATGAACTATTGCAAAATGAAACAAGAACATGATTTAGGTGAACTATTTGAGATTAAAATCTCCTGTGACCTCCAATCACTAAGATCCTTGCCTAATATGTCATTATACAGTGCTACAAAATTTATAAGACTTAGGCCTTTATGATTAATTGGTAATATATGTCCCATTATGGAACAAACACAAATAACACAATGATGTGAATTGTGAAATCGTCACTCATAGCCAGAGGCTCTACTAATAAGTCCAAATAAAAAATTGGTTCATTTGAGGCCACTTAATTCCTCCAAAATGTCACATATCAAACCATTCATTTCCACAAAACGTGGTAGAATATTTGGCTCTTTTTGAGCCACTTACACAGATACTTCCACTTGTAAAATATTACAGGAAACAAACAAAAACAAAAGTATATGTGGCACATAGTGTTGCCATGGAAGTCAAGGGCAGATAGTTCAAAGGGAGCTAACTCTAGATGACCCAATCTATTGCAGAATCTGAACCATATCGCGATAACCGTATCGCGAGATACTGTACCGGTATACATAGGTTTACCGGTAATATTGCACAGCCCTACTTATTTCATACACTGTTATACATAGTAAGTTTTGCTTAGAATGCTAACAGGCGATGAATAATGAATACGTACCGTATTGTATTTTGCCTAAATAATGCCGAGTGACATTCCAAAGTAGACATGAGGAGGTTCTGATTAACCAGACAAAATGAATTATGTCCAACTGGTTTTCTCACCACCACGTTCCCATGGCCCAAGTGGATCCTGACTAGCACCTGGCCAGCTGCTTGTCGCCAGAGACAACTAGGGAACCCGTCTAGATTCCTGGTTAGAAGTTGTCCCTGCTGGTCGACTGGTGAGGCTCGGTCACTGGATGGTTGCGTGTCAACGTATCTCAGACTGTGTGAACCTTGCTCATTATGCCAATCACTGGATTGTCAGATCCACACACGTGTATATACAGGCTGACGTTCGGATCTCGGGTGAGGCGGTACACCACGAGGCACACATGAACCCTATTGCGGACACACAGATTTGAGGCGGTCGTAAAATACACATGCTCACTTCAAATGGTGTGACATTGTCCGGCAGGGATTCCAGGTCTATGGTGACGTGAGGTGAGGTGACATGGTAGGGGTGGATCTCTGTGTCAATAGCTAGAGTCCTACGCTATGACGTTCCCAGCGATAGAACAACCGACTATTCACTGGACCCATCAATAGGTTTAACTATAATCGTCAGATGAGGCTGACATTCTCCGTTGTCCTTGGTCCTAACCACCATATCTTCGTTACTGAAGTGTCATACCATCTCAATCTCTCTTGTGATTACTACGGTTATGTTAAGCGTCATGTAATTCTGGGTACCAATAACGGGACTAGGGTAGCTGTCACAGTCGAATGGCTGTATCGGCACCCTGGGTATTCGAGGATGAGAACAATAGGAACCTGACTGTGTGCATCACATAGCTCAGCTCCACTGTACTCTTCTTACGGTATTAGAACATTTAGCATACATACGCAATACGTCATGGAGCTAGTAGATTAAGTTACGATCTGTACAGAGTAGGGCTAATCACTGATCCATCCTGCGCATGTGGAAACCCATGAGAAAATGTTCATCACTATTTCTCAGAATGTTCTTTATACAATCAACATAGAAAGATCATGCTTAAAGATATTCACGATGTCTGTGGTAGTAATTCTGTGATTACATTATCTGTTATTTTTAACGGTATTGCAGATCTGACAAATCATAAAAATGAAATTATATTCAAAAATGTACATCAGTATTTATGCAAATCTAAACGATTCCAGTAGTCTTCTTTCTATGCACCTTTTGTATTATAACATTTCCCCTGAACTGTCAATCTTTCTCTGTCTATATTTCTAATAATTGCTTGTAATGTAATTATAAAGTTATTGTAAATGTCTTTGGAGAGGGGTTTTATAACTTGTAATAACTTGTCCCCGATCCTTTTCACTTTGTGAATGAAATATGTTTAAACTAAACTCTGTTGGATTCATTTTGTGTGTACTTTTCCGCCCATGCTGCCTGTCTCGGTCTTACCAAGACAAATGATGCGTCTGCTTTAAAAGATACAAGCCGATTCCTCTATGGTCATCAAAACAATTGGACAAACCTATTGAAAACGTAAATTTGCATATAGTAATATTATATTAGTTAGTAGATGATGGAAAGAACAATATTTGTAGCATTAGTTTGATCTGGTATTTGTGGTCATGATCACAACGTCTGTGTGTACCCTCTCTGATTAGGACCCGTGAAGGTCCGGGTTAGAATGAACCTTCAGTAACCCATGCTTGTCGTAAGAGGCAACTAACGGGATCGGGTGGTCGGGCTCGCTGGCTTGGTTGACACATGTCATCGGTTCCCAATTGCGCAGGTCGATGCTCATGCTGTTGATCACTGGATTGCCTGGTCCAGACTCGATTATTTACAGACCGCCGCCATATAGCTGGAATATTGCTGGGTGCGGCGTAAAACTAAACTCAATCACCTCTCTGATTAGCGTGTTTGTCCCGGGTTCTGGTGATGTTCATTGTACATATATTAACCCTGCAAACTCAAAATACAATCCAAACAGACGCTGCATGAACTATGCCGTTTATTTCAGTGGAAAACTGTTGGTCAGTTACTCAACACGTCATCATGGCTTAGTACATGTTGTTATAAAGAGATTCACCCGACATGGTAAGTATTGGAATATATGTATCAAACACACGTGCCATAGAGATTACAATAAACAAGTCATTAGGTTTAATGGCAACAACATGAGATTTACTGAGATGTTACACGAATCTCCATGGACTTGTGGATGTACCGAACAACGGACGTCCGACGTGGTAATTTGGTCACTAATATTCAGCATCTGTTCTGTCAGGCTTAAAGGGTGAGGGATCCAACAACCACCAGCAACAGTGACGTCATGCAGAAGATCACGTGACTTGCCCCAGAACGAGTCCCTGCAAAACATCACAGATTCATGAACCGAAATAGGTTCAGGACAGAAACAGTTTTCAAAATCACATCCCAATGTAGCTGGTTCAGTCTGTTAGCTCAGACATGTAACATTGGACTCAGAGCCATGCCTTATCTTTGGCAATGACAGTTCTAATCTGTGGAAGATTGTCTTGCCTGTTAATAAGGTACAATCACATAATCTAATAAGACGCCATGCATTACGACATTCCTGCTATGACGTCATAACCAGGGTGATGTCATATATGCATAACGTCAATACTGCCATGACGTCATGAATTGGATAATGTCTTATAGTTACATGGTTATTCCATTTACCCACCACAGTATTCCACCTTTGACACTACGTAGTGGCTATTATTTCAGATGGTGTTATTTATTTCTTGTTCATTATGGTTGTGACGTTGCCCCAGAAGGTTATATCTATTGATAACCAAGGAACATACCACACGTTGTGTCAGTGAAACCAGCCGTACATGTACACGTGTAGGGGATGACGGTAATGATGCACGTCCCCCCGTTCTGACACTCCCCACCAGTCGTGGTGCAAGTCGGAGCTGGAAATGTAAAAACATCAGTGGTTAGAGACAGCTTGAATAGCACACATGGTCTACATTGTAGATTCACTGAAAGCGTCAACACCTCCACTACACGTGGAACAACGTAGAGGCACCCAAGTAATGATATTGTACCAGTGTGCTGTGAACTGCATCTCAGTAGACCTCTCGCATATATTTCCTATGTTATGACGACCGAAACTGAAGACGCATGGTGTTCTAAAAATATACAATTTGATACGCAGCAACACTTACATAAGGGTAAGGCTTGTCGCCAGATTGTGCTGTATAAGGAAATGGTCAGGTTAACTAGTGAAAGTTCCGTTATTCATTCGCCAGGGTGAAGAGTTTTTGCTAAAAATATCCATATGAAGCGACACAATCACATGGTGTTTGTTTTCAAACAAATATGATATGGCACTCTCACTATCCTTTGAAAATAGAACATTTATTTGTAATATGTGTGGGTAAGGACAAAAATGACCACCTTAAAACGGATGTGTGTAAAGTTTCCCGTACGTTTTGTAAGTACAACACAGCACGCACCTGTTTCACAAAGTGTGCCAGTGTATCCACCAGAACAGGAACACTTGTTGGGGGACGATGTACGATCACAGGTGCCGCTACTGCCGCACTCGTTACCACCGGAAGTACAGATAGGAGCTGGAGCAGGAGAGATAGAGTCAGGGTACATGCCAACTTGTTTGTAAGTTCGTATTAACAGACCATATTTCACATCCAGAAACTGAGGCTGTACATGTTTAGAGTGTCAACATCTGTGTGGGGAAGACTCGGTCGACTTACCTACAGAACAGGTATCTCCAGTGTAGTCGTCGCTGCAGGCACAGACGTAAGGGGTGGTGGTCGTGTTGCAGGTCCCGTGGGTGCCACATTCAGAACCCCTGGCACTGCATTTTGGGCCTGAAAAAAGGAACTTCAGTAAATTATCTATAGCTTTTGTTTGCTTGTACCACTATTCACGCAACACACAGGGATATCTAAGTTTCATGGCAGAGGTCTGCAATTAATCCATGAGCCAACTGGCCATTGCTGCCATGAGCATCGATCTATACATACGATCTGTGGGATTCGATGGCATGCATAAACCAAGTCATCCCCTAAGTCGGATCTTTTGACCAACAATGATGATTTTGCCTGAACGCCACTGTTATATTTGCGAGTGAAATTTCAGTTGTACCAACTTGTTGAATGGAATATATAACGTTATATAATATAATAACCAGTATTGATTATTCCACTAGCATATGGAACCTGCACTTACTGGATTGGCAGGTGTCGCCACCATAGCCGCCGTAACATTGGCAGGTATATATTGTAGCACAGGTATTGCACTCCCCGTTGTCTCCACACTGGTTCCCACCGGCCGTGCAGCCTGGGGCTGGAACACACGCGGTGGTACATGAACATAATAACAAACAGTAACTGCCCTGACCGACTGTTGAAGAACTTGCTTAGATTGAAAAAGTATTGCACTTTTCTAAAACTTTTTGCCTCCGGATTTGCCATTTGAGATTTTATTTTCTTTAAGATAGGGCAGTCTCACATTTTTAATGCAACCTTGCCTCTATTTTAACAATGCATTTCAATGATATGATGTACAAGCTATCCTCTGTAGCTTTGGCCTATACATACTCTGCAGTAACACAATAGTATCTTTCATATTTTGTGAGTAATATTCTTTTTCATTGATCTTCCTTATTGATCCTCGAACATTTCATCTACCTGTTTGACACAGGTTTCCAGAATACCCATCAGTGCAGCGACAGACGTAAGTAGCTGTGGAGTTATCACAGGAGCCGTGGGTGCCGCACTCATTTCCACCGCCAGTACAGATGGGAGCTGACAGCAAACAGATAGTCATCAAATGATTGTAAAACGAACTCCAGCAATTATGTGCGTTCAGCTGCTACTTTCGGGATGATCGCCAACAGATGATCCAGGTTTGTGCTCTTCCTAAATACATGGAGTTGTCGCAACATGCTTACTTATTAAGATAAGATATATTCTGAAATTAGGTTTCGATTAACAGTTTACATTTATTGATAATTCTTAATAAACAAATCTTGTGTTTACCAGTTTGACACAGGTTTCCAGAATACCCATCAGTGCAGCGACAGATATAGGTGTCTGTAGAGTTATCACAGGAGCCGTGGGTGCCGCACTCACTTCCACCGCCAGTACAGATAGGGGCTGAAGTGATTATGTTGATTAGAAAATATACAAATAGTTCCTTCATTTCTTCGAACCAAGACGTGAAGATTCGTCAAATTTCCACAGTACTTTTATAGAGATAGATATTCTATGTACAACCGATAAACTACAAACTTCAATGTTGTGATTACAAGCTTGAGTATCCGATTAAGAGAGTGTCTATTACTGACAACGTCAAGCTTGAAATTACTGTAACCGAACGTGAAGTGAGGTGTGAAACCAAACCCATCTTGGAACATATAATCTGTTGCGGGACAATTGGGGTGGGGTGGGATGTGTGTGTGAACATTAGTTGAAAGTGACTGTTAAGCTCCTGTTTCATATTCAGACTATTGGAGGTTATTGGAAGCACGACCAATCTTTAACTAACATTTGTATTAATAACTGATTGTGATCGAGGGTAGTCGTAGAAATAGCATCTTTCCGAAAAGACGCTGGGATGTACACATTCTGTTAGCGGACGTAATTTTAATTGCCCACAAAACAAGCTCTCGTGACTCCTTTCGACTCGAAAACAAAATTTTAAGAAAACGCGTGGACATTTGTTAAGCACGTCAAAGTTAGAGCTTTGTAACTCCTATGGGTCATTTCTGTTTTCTTCAAAATAGGAGAATGTGACATTTTTAAATGCAAAGCTGCCATTATTTTAACAATGTCATTTACAAACTCAACGACGTGATGTTCACGGCATCTCTTTGTTGTAACGATGATCTATTCAGGCACTATAATAACACGATATCATCTGTAGTCAAAACTAAATTTCACCTTTTTTGCCTTCTTTGACATTGTTCATTGATGTCTGAATATAGAACGTACCTGTTTGACACAGGTTTCCAGAATACCCATCAGTGCAGAGACAGACGTAGGTGTCTGTAGAGTTAACACACGACCCGTAGGTGCCGCACTCACTTCCACCGCCAGAACAGATAGGGGCTGAATGTATTCACAGACAAATCAACTGTGTTAAAAAGAGATCATTTTCAATAACTGATATTATTTCACATGTCCAATATATCGGCGATTACAGTATGTTAAAAAAATATATAATGTCAGTAAAAAGAAATACCTCTTGACTATCCTCACAAACAAGCGTTATTGGTAAAAAGGCCATAATAGCTTGAAAAATATATGAATGGACCAATCAAAATCAGTGATGACACCAAGTGTTCCACCGCCAGTACAGATGGGGGCTGAGACGCAATCACATATACTTAATCAGATAGAATTACAAAACTAACATTAATGCGATCGGTATGTGTGTAAGTATACAATGGAATAAATAATGATAATAATATATCTAGGTGGAGCACATGTAAAACAGTATAATTTCATGCATTTTGGGCAAATACGACATCAATCCACAATCACAAGGTCATAGTTTATTATCGCTCATGTATTTTTAACGGGGACGTTCTGTTCTCTCACTCCTCAAACGTTCAAATGGTCACTAGAACAAGGACTGGAAATATTGTTTAATTGGAATGACAATATCGTATCACTTTGAAGTACAAATACCGACTGTTGAAACTAAACCCGATGAAACTAAATCACATGGGGATGAAACGTTGGTTCTACTGAGATCAAGGAAAAGTCTGAATATCCAAGTCACGACGTGGCTGAGATAATGCTCAAAATAGTTCAACGCTCCCTCTCACCCCCTTCACACTAGATGAAATGTGAAATGCAAGAATGACATTTTTTCATCCCGAATGAATTAAGATCAGTTATATAAAACAAAGCCGAATGTTATTGTTGTTTAAATGGGTTTTTTACCCATGGAAACAGAACATTTACATAAACAAGTAGATGCGGGTGGTTTCTAAAGTTAGATAATTGTATTACAGCAAAGCAAACACTCAACCTGAGTAAAATGCTAAAAATCTTGAAATGGAAATAAAACACTCTTCATTGCAAGGGGAATTCCTTGAAACTGATTTCACATAAAATGTTTGTAGTTGAAAGCAATGTTTAGTACACACCTTTTGTGCACATATCATCCTGTTCAAGCTTTATAATAACACAATATCATCTGAAGTCAAAAACAAATTTCACCTTTTTAGCCGTTCGTTGTGTTTTTTCATTGATGTCTGAATATAAAACGTACCCGTTTGACACAGGTTTCCGGAATACCCATCAGTACAGCGACAGATATAGGTAGCAATTGAGTTATCACAGGACCCGTGGGTGCCGCACTCACTTCCACCGCCAGTACAGATGGGAGCTGAAGTTTGTCACAAGTACATTAACTTGCTATTGATATTTGAAAGTAGGGGTGGGTATTGCATAGAATTTTCATATTGCGATATACTGCGATGCGAAAGCATGTATTGCGATATGTATTGCAATATATTGCATGAAGTATTTTTAATAAAAACTACTTATAATCGAGTTAATGCTTGATTTATAGAGCAAAAACACAGCAAAATCACTAGGCTTGATTAAGTTTTAATAACAAGTTTTCATCATGATAAAATAGAAATGTGAATAATATTTGGCACAAATGAAACAAGGAAATATCCGAAGATTTCCGAGTGTTACGAAGTTTTCCGAATGCAAGTCAAAATACCGGTTTTCGATCAGCGTATCGCAATACGTATCGTGTTCATGTCTGAACCGGTAAATGCCGGTAAACCGATTATATTGCGCAGCCCTATTTGAAAGTGTCATTTTTTATATTGTTGCCCTGAATGTTGGATTTAGTTGATTTTCAGCATTGTGGAACTTTTGCCATGCCAAACGTCGTGTGGCGAAGAAGGCTCAGATCGTTTTCATCGTTACATGATACTTGACAGTTGATGAATTAGAAACACGATTACCTGCGACAAGACTGAGCTTGTACTTTGACATTATTGACCGTCACTGACCTGTTGTGCACGTATCACCCTTGTAACCATCAGTGCAGCGACAGACGTAGGTAGCCGTGGAGTTATCACAGGCGCCGTGGGTGCCACACTCGCTTCCACCGCCAGTACAGATGGGAGCTGTAGTAAAACATATTGCCTGACGTTAGTAAAGGCAATCTCACCTTATAAATGTAAAATAAGAAATTAGTTGTCTTTAAAGACTGCTTTCAGGAGTGAGCAATGGAAATGTTGTCTATTTTCACGAGGGGCGTCCCAAAGGTAGTCGGCCTAACTATATTCTAGATGTCCCATGTTATAAAAGCTTCCATTTTATTTGAAGGAATCATTAGCAAAGCCATATCCAAAATTTCACATATGTGGGTAATGTGGTTAACGAAATATTAGTCAGCACAACACATTGGGTATTATATTTCTTTAGAAATTGCAGAAAGTGAAAAACGATCTGTCATTTTGTACCTCTTGGATAATGGTATGCCCTCAGATAATATCATATATAATATGTTCAGTATAGTATTGGATGACTTCCCGTCATAATCAAATCACTTTAACAAGCGACTGTAGTTTCAAATTGCATTTTTATGCACTTTAGTATCTACATATGATTCTAGAGGACTTCTGCCTATTTCAAACACACAATATGTTTCTTGCATACTTTGTTGCCTGAAGTTTGTGATGCCTGTAATGCAGATTTTGTGTGGGGTGGTGGTAGGTGGGAGTGGGTGTGGTGTGTGTGTGTGTGTGGTGTGTGTGTGTGTGTGTGTGTGTGTGTGTGTGTGTGTGTGTGTGTGTGTGTGTGTGTGTGTGTGTGTGTGTGTGTGTGTGTGTGTGTGTGTGTGAGCCAAGATGATGAGTCAAACAAAATGGGGATCGTGAGGCTGGAACTTTGCAAAAGCAATTTGCTTGAGGTTGACAGATAATATGTAGAAAAATAAAACAAAGGAACAGCTGCATTTGTATAGTTTGCTAGGTGAGGCCGACTACTTTTGGGACGCCCCTCGTAAATCATCAGCTGACGGCAACATATCGATCTCTCCGAAAGTGTTCCTTAGCGTCATAATTGGGAGATAAGATCAAAAAGAGAGACTATAGCTATGCTATCTGAGGAGTTACCTCCCTTTGTTTTCTACTTCCGGTATCTTCGGTGAGGTTCTGGAAGCTATGAGCAGTTCGTGGCGTGGGATAGTTTTTGTTAGAATTCTCTAGAACTGTATATAAGGGATGGTTTCTGAGATGTATGGGGGGACGACTTTGGATTTACGCTCATCTGTCTGCTAACATCGACGTTTCAAGACCGACCACTCAAGAGGCCTCGTCTACATTAAACTGTCAACAGCAGTCAACAAACTTCAATCAGTACATCTACAAGAATCAAGACTCTGGTAACTATAGACATTTAGTTAATATTTTTTATTTGTGACCCAATTGTATTGTAATAGAAATCTGTACTGTCATTCATTGTAACCTTTTTTTTCTTTATTCAATATATAATTGAAAATTATAGACTAGTCTGTGTCAGCGAGCCTGACTACCCGATCCCGTTAGTCGCCTCTTACAACAATCATGGGATGCTGAAGACCCATTGTAACCCGGATCTTCACGGGTCCTAATCAGAGAGGGTACACACAGACATTGTGATCATGACCACAAATACCAGATCAAACTAATGCTACAAATGTTGTTTTCCTTCAGAAGGAAACGAGTTGTTAGTGAAGAAAAAATCGTCCAGTAACATTTCGATATTGTGAATTTACATATATCATAGCACTTTGACAGATTACACAGTAATGAAGTTTTTCACACTATGACATTTGAAATATTATCCTCGAAATGTATATTTTAAGATAACATTTCATTGTACATGCTTAAATGTACATTCAGTGTGTTTATGTACATATATATAAATATGTAATGCTGTAATATTATACAAACATTGTAATAACATAATTCTAAATGTTAATGTATTTTGACATAATTGACATGAATATAATGTAAAGCTGGAATATATTTAAAATAATATTAATGTTGATCATTTCTAATACTGACTGACTGACTGAGTTTGGTTTTACGCCGCTTTTAGCAATATTCGAGCAACATCACGGCGGGGGGCACCAGAAATGGGCTTCACACATTGTACCCATGTGGGGATTCGAACCCGGGTCTTCGGCGTGACGAGCCAACGCTTTTACCATTAGGCTACCATACCGCCCATTCATTTCTAATAAGCAGATAATGTAGGTCATTTACCAGTTTGACACAGGTTTCCAGAATACCCATCAGTACAGAGACAGACGTACGTAGCTGTGGAGTTATCACAGGACCCGTGGGTGCCGCACTCACTTCCAGCGCCAGTACAGTTTGGGGCTAAACGATAAATACAATATTTTACTTGCGTCCGAATAAGAAAAATATGCCACCCCTGAACCGCGGACAATGTATTTTAATATATCAGTGAGCCAGTGAGTTTAGTTTTATACTTTTAGCAATATCACGGCGGGGGACACCAGAAAATGGCTTCATATATTGTACCTATGTGGGGAATCGAACCCGGGTCTTCGACGTGACGAGCGAACGCTTTAACCACTAGGCTACCCTACCGCCCTTGTATCTTAACACATACACACATGAAGCCAAGCAAGGTAGTGCCGCTGCCGACGGACCCTGTTTCGGAAAATGTTTGGAACTAGACAACATTATGAAACACCGGTGTTCCGTCGAGAACATTATTACAGAGTTCGAATCTTACTTTCATCAAGTCAGTTACGAAGGACACCCTGCTGTTGAAAAATGGACATTTTCTAATAATACCTTGAAAACCAGTTTTCACTTGCAATTTTAGCGGTATGCGCTGTGAATATTCACAAGATCCAGAGGCAGTGTCACTATACGTACTGCTGACTTACCATCATGTATCTAATACCAGTACAGAGGCAGTGTCACTATACGTACTGCTGACTTACCATCATGTATCTAATACCAGTACAGAGGCAGTGTCACTATACGTACTGCTGACTTACCATCATGTATCTAATACCAGTACAGAGGCAGTGTCACTATACGTACTGCTGACTTACCACCATGTATCTAATACCAGTACAGAGGCAGTGTCACTATACGTACTGCTGACTTACCATCATGTATCTAATACCAGTACAGAGGCAGTGTCAGTATACGTACTGCTGACTTACCATCATGTATCTAATACCAGTACAGAGGCAGTGTCACTATACGTACTGCTGACTTACCACCATGTATCTAATATACAGAGGCAGTGTCACATACGTACTGCCATACCTATACCAGTACAGAGGCAGTGTGACGTACCGCTGACTTACCACTTTACCATGTATCTAATACCATGCAGTACGTACTGCTGACTTACCATCATGTATCTAATACCAGGTACAGAGGCACTATACGTACTGCTGACTTACCATCATGTATCTAATACCAGTACAGAGGCAGTGTCACTATACGTACTGCTGACTTACCATCATGTATCTAATACCAGTACAGAGGCAGTGTCACTATACGTACTGCTGACTTACCATCATGTATCTAATACCAGTACAGAGGCAGTGTCGCTATACGTACTGCTGACTTACCATCATGTATCTAATACCAGTACAGAGGCGGTGTCAGTATACGTACTGCTGACTTACCATCATGTATCTAATACCAGTACAGAGGCAGTGTCAGTATACGTACTGCTGACTTACCATCATGTATCTAATGCAAGTACAGAGGCAGTGTCAGTATACGTACTGCTGACTTACCATCATGTATCTACTGACTTACTGATACCAGTACAGAGGCAGTGTCAGTGTCGCTATACGTACTGCTGACTTCTACCATCATGTATCTAATACCAGTACAGAGGCAGTGTCATACTATACGTACTGCTGACTTACCATCATGTATCTAATACCAGTACAGAGGCGGTGTCAGTATACGTACTGCTGACTTACCATCATGTATCTAATACCAGTACAGAGGCGGTGTCACTATACGTACTGCTGACTTACCATCATGTATCTAATACCAGTACAGAGGCAGTGTCAGTATACGTACTGCTGACTTACCACCATGTATCTAATACCAGTACAGAGGCAGTGTCAGTATACGTACTGCTGACTTACCACCATGTATCTAGAACCAGTACAGAAAGGGCTTAACAACTACATCAAATCGAAATATGCCCGTTCCAGAGAGTCCATTGTGCAATGTCATACGTTGTTTTTTCTTCATACAACTCTTCTTTGAGCAGCAATTTTCCCGTTTGTGATCAGTTACAAACCTGTTGCGCACTTTTCTCCTTTGTAACCAACATTTTGATAGTGTATAATGGTATACTTCACTAACCTGTTTGACACAGGTTTCCAGAATACCCATCAGTGCAGCGACAGACGTAGGTGTCTGTAGAGTTAACGCAGGACCCGTGGGTGCCGCACTCACTTCCACCGCCAGTACAGATAGGGGCTGAATGTATTCACAGAAAAATCAACTGTGTTAAAAAGGGATACTTTTCAATAACTGATGTTATTTCACATGTCCAATATATCGGCGATTACAGCATGTCAAAAATATATAATATCAGTAAAAAGAAATAGGTCTCGACTATCTCTCATAAACAAGTGTTATTGGTATAAAGACCATAACAGCTGTGAACACTGTATGAATAGACCAATCACAATCAGTGACGACAGCAGGTGCTCGCTGGAAGGGTGAGCATGTCCTGGCCTACCGGCAGCATCCAAGTATTTACAGTGCGACACGTCAGTGATCCTGCCATGCAACGGCGTCTTGACAACAAGCCAGACAAAGAAGTGATCAATGTACCAGAAACCCGGCTGTTAGGTTTGTATTAGGACTATTCACCACTGTGTAAAAGTGCAAAATATTGAACAGGGGTAGTACTGACAAAAGACGAAAACATTTCGGTTTAGTCTTCAATTCAATATACATGGATGATTCTCTCTTCTCAAGTCTGGACAGTGTTACATTTTGAAAGACCTCCTATTCTTTTTCAGATAATGTTTATTTCAAGGTGACGTTTTGTTGTACTTTGTGTAACAATAATGAGATATACATAGGTTCAGACAGACAATACTATACTTAGGCTATGTCAAGTTTCACATTTTCGAATATTATTTCCATTTGGAGCGTGATCCTAATATAACTACATTAAAGCTATGCAGTGGATATCAATGTATACAAGACAAGTATATACTTCTTGATTTATTTTTCACAACGTTTCTGGGCTAGGTATTGCACCTTCTTCGCCTGAACGTTATGACAATTAAATCAATAAGTTGTTATCAATAAGATTTGTTTTGTATACTACACCAACTTCTAAATGCCTTTGAAGAATTTCAATGTATAATAGACTTAAGCTTTTAGCTTAAATGTACACTTGTCATTCACACAGTTCTCAAAACAAGAATATACATTGCATATACCAGTTTGACACAGGTTTCCAGAATACCCATCAGTACAGCGACAGACGTATACGTAGGTGTCTGTGGAGTTATCACAGGAGCCGTGGGTGCCGCACTCACTTCCACCGCCAGTACAGATTGGGCTTAAACAATAAATACAATATTCAATTTATGAAAAGAAATCACTGTGAGAAGTGACATAGGTTAGTAGTGGATAAGTATCAACTTCCACCGACAAAGGGCTGAATGCATCTAATAGGAACTATTTATTCCAGAAAGCAGCATTCCCATTATGTTTATAACACGACTTCAATATAAACACATCTCCTACAGACATGGACCGTTAGACATTACATAGCGAACATGTTGCTGATGCAGCCCAAGCTTCGAAACCACAAACAGTCCATGATACCTAAAGATGTGCAATCAATGTTACAATACCCTCTTTGTTGATACAGTCTATCAGAGGACAGTATGTTGGTGATTTTGTGCAAGGCAAGTACTGACACATAGTAATTTCATTTTATGAATGGAGAGATGAGTAGAACCAGCAGTGTAAAATTTACAGCTAGTGAAACACACCATATTTAAAGATAATACCATTTTTGAGGATTTAGAATATTAGATATAGAATGATAAAGGACTGTTTAAGTAAAGAATGCAAGGTTTCATGTCTACATAGTTATCACTGGTGCGGTGTCCTAAACATGAACATACGTATGGTGCAGTCGTCGCCGCTGTATCCGTCTGTACACGAGCATGTTGTGTTACAGGGGTTGCCGCATGTACCGTGGCTGTTACAGCTGCCGTTGCTCAGACAAACATCAGCAGTAACAACTTGAACAGCAGTCGCTCCAAGAACCAGTGCTATCAGAAGGAGAAAGCAAATATTTCAGATTACCACAGTTACTATAAGGCCGTCAGTACCGTCAGTACCGTCAGTACCGTCAGTACCATTACCGTGCTCTTGAGTTCACGTTAGTTAATGGGTTATGATCTGTGTCATGTCGGGCTTGGGGCGGTGGGGTAGCCTAGTGGTTAAAGCGTTGGCTTGTTACGCCGAAGACCCGGGTTCGAATCCCCACATGGGTACAATGTGTGAAGCCCATTTCTGGTGTTCCCCGCCGTGATGTGGCTGCAATATTGCTAACAGCGGCGTAAAACAAAACTCAGTCAGTCAGTCAGTCAGTCATGTCGGGCTTTATTCCCACAGGAAGCTGATAGGCTCACTCCTACACAGATTATTGTCAGTAATAAGATACATGTAGGCTCTGTCCAGCCATAGGAACTTAATGCTAGTACACAATAAAATGAAAATTATGAAAACACATATTGTTTTGGGACATTGTTTGTACATAAAGTCATGGACAAACCGTTGAACTCTTTCCACGTGTATGTAAACATATGGCAGTTTGATGAACAGATGACATCACACACTACCATGATAACTGAATTGTCCTTCAGCAGAATGCCAAGAAAAGGCAACAACATTAGAAAATTTCAGTGGTAGCCAAACCTTAATTGAATGTGGAGTGCGATATTGGTTAAAAAGGAAGTCTGATTTGGAGTTACCTCCATTAGTCGTTGGCAGGCAGCATGGTGGTTCTCGAAGTCTTGTTTTATGGTAGGCTCTAGAAAGCTGTGCGTTACTGTGTAAGAACAACACGAGGCCATTCTGATGAACGCCTACGAGAACATTTACAACGATGCGTAAATACGATGCATAAAATGACCTAAGGTCATTTTCCCAAGCTCGTTGTGGATATTTTTTCCAACGAATGAGGTAGTTAGACAGCGTTTTTATACAAATCCGAATAGTACACGGAACACTTGGCATGTAGTAATTGATGCTGTGATGCACCGTGACAGAGACTGATCTCCGCCACCGGAAGGGCGGTCCAGGTGATGCATGTACTTTGTGATACTCCTTGTGTAACATGAATCCTGTAATACTTGTTGTTCGTACTGCTACATGATGCCACTTCTCGCCCTAACACATGTGTTTGCATCTATAGGAGGACTGAAGTATGATCGGTTGATAAAGTGTGGGAACAAAGACACCGAAAACACACATAAACGTAATAATGAGGACAAACTGTGGACAAAGTTTAACCTGCAAAAGGAATACTACTACTGCTGCTGTTGCTACTACTGCTCCTCCTACTACTACTACTGCTACTACTACTACTACTACTCCTGCTACTACTACTACTACTACTGCTACTACTGCTACTACTACTGCTGCTACTACTGCTACTACTACTACTACTGCTACTACTGCTACTGCTGCTACTACTGCTACTACTACTACTACTACTCCTGCTACTGCTGCTACTACTACTGCTACAACTACTATTGCTGCTACTACTGCTACTACTACTACTACTACTCCTGCTACTACTACTACTCCTGCTACTACTGCTACTACTACTACTACTACTCCTGCTACTATCACTGCTGCTGCTACTACTACTGCTGCTGCTACTACTGCTGCTACAACTACTATTGCTGCTACTACTGCTACTGCTGCTACTCCTACTACTGCTACTGCTGCTGCTCCTGCTACTACTGCTGCAGCTACTACTACTGTTGATCCTGCTGCTGCTACTGCTGCTACTGCTACAACTACTGCCATTTGCTGCTACTACTGCTACTACTACTACTACTACTCCTGCTACTACTACTACTCCTGCTACTACTGCTACTACTACTACTACTACTCCTGCTACTGCTGCTACTACTACTGCTGCTGCTACTACTACTGCTACAACTACTATTGCTGCTGATACTACTACTGCTACTACTACTACTACTGCTATTACTGCTTTTACTGTTACTACTACTACTGCTGCTACTGCTACTACTACTGTTACTACTGCTACTACTACTACTGCTGCTACTGACTGACTGACTGACTGCGTTTGGTTTTACGCCGCTTTTAGCAATATTCCAGCAACATCACGGCGGGGGACACAAGAAATGGGCTTCACACATTGTGCCCATGTGGGGATTCGAGCCCGGGTCTTCGGCAAGACGAGCCAACGCTTTAACCACTAGGCTACCCCACCGCCCCACTGCTGCTACTACTGCTACTACAGCTACTACTGCTGCTACTCACTGCTACTGCTGCTGCTACTACTGCTACTGCTACTGTTACTGCTGCTACTAGTGCTGCTGCTGTTACTACTACTGCTTACTACTACTACTACTACTGCTACTACTACTGCTGCTGCTGACTGCTGCTACTACTGTTACTGCTACTGCTGCTGCTACTACTGCTGCTGCTACTACTACTGCTGCTACTGCTACTACTACCACACGCTATTACTACTGCTACTGCTACTGTTACTACTACTGCTACTACTACTGCTACTACTGCTGCTGCTGCTACTACTACTGCTGCTACTGCTGCTACGCTGCTGCTGCTGCTACTACTACTACTGCTGCTGCTACTGCTGCTACTACTGCTACTACTGCTACTGCTGCTACTGCTGCTACTGCTGCTGCTGCTACTGCTGCTGCTACTGCTACTGCTGCTACTGCTGCTACTGCTGCTACTGCTACTTAACTGCTGCTGCTACTGCTGCTGCTGCTGCTGCTACTGCTAGCTACTGCTACTACTGCTACTACTGCTGCTACTGCTACTGCTACTACTACTACTGCTACTGCTACTACTGCTACTGCTGCTACTGTTACTACTGCTACTACTACTACTACTGCTACTACTACTACTTACTGCTACTACTACTACTACTACTGCTACTACTACTACTATTACTACTGCTACTACTGCTATTACTGCTACTGCTACTACTACTGCTACTACTACTACTGCTGCTGCTGCTATTACTGCTACTACTACTATTACCACTGCTACTACTGTTACTACTACTACTACTACTGCTACTGCTGCTACTGCTACTACTTCTACTGCTATTACTACAACCACTGCTGTTACTACTTCTACTACTACTACTACTACTATTGCTACTGCTACTGCTACTACTACTGCTGCTGCTAGTATAACTACTACAGCAAGCTTTATGAGAAGCAGCGCTTCAACGATCGTAAAATACATCAGACAGGAATAATCGTCAGCGCCAAGGAATAATCCGTCTGGATACCTACAGAAAAATACCTCAGAGCTCCAAAATGATATGAATGGATGACTGGATGTCGGTTGTGACACCAGGTGTCCGTCGAACGAACAGCGCTTATAGTAATACTATTCTCAGGTTTCTTTCACAAAGTGATCAATACTGTCACAATTATTGGGAAAGAGTCCTGATAGAAATGTCTCTATATCCGGTCCCAGAACAAGTTTCCCAAACCACTGACATTTATCGTTCCACCATTCCACCGAGACACACGTTGTGCTGTCAGGATAAGGATGAAGAAATACAAATATGATAACATTCAACCTACCAGTCACCAACAGATGTACAACGTTAGCCATGATGTGGACGAACCTCCCTGCTCGATTTGTGGCGTACAGTTCCAACCACCTGATTTAATACCATCTGTATCTATGGCACAACGTATGTGTGTTGTAGCAACACAAGATATTTATGTTTGGAGATATGGTCTGTGTTCAAGGTGATGGAGGACAGCCTTAACTACGTCAATAGTGCTTATGGTAGCGAACCCTTTTTCATCCAATAAAACAAAAGGTCAGGATGGTTGGTCTGTATCTTCAACCAATCTGTGTGGAAAGCCGGAATGTACACATAGCCCGAATGGATTTCAGTGCAAACATGTCCTCATGGCAGATAACACCTGACAATATTCCATGTCTGGTGTTAACAACACATATCAACTAGAAATTATAAAAAAAAGAATGTTTGAAATCATGTCCACTATTACGATAATCTTGTCACCTTCGTTTTTTGAGAATAAATCTGTTCAGCCGTTTTACCATTGGGTCGTTCAGGGTGGTGGGCTTCACTACAGCATGAGAAATGAAAACCTTGCCCATGTTTCCTGATATTAATATTCAGTGCTGTGTATGCATGTCTTATCGCGAACTGTTTGGTGTTGTGGCGCGCTGCTTGTGGCCAAATGGCATGGCTTCCCAGTGTGTTTACACTGGTCTCTGCTGCCGATAATGAGTCAGGTGCAAATAATCTCAATTTCCAGCAAACGCCATCAATTAACTTACATTTACCTCTACAAGAAATACCAGGCTTTTAATGGAGAATGATCGCGACGTGAACGTATGTTGATAGCTATTGGAGGCATTCTGTAGTATTGCCACAAACACCTAGTGCCAGTGACACATTGTTTTGAGTTGTAGTCTTTTGCTAATAAATTACGAATACCTGTTTGAATGTATTATGGGACCGGTTAGAAGCGGTCCTCGGTATCATATGTTGGTTACATATCCTAATGAATAGGTTTTGAAAGAATC